TGATAATACGTGGTACAAAGACCCTCAAGTTTGGCTAATGAAATTTTATAACTCGAAATTAATTAACTCGCTCAATCCCATCGTCATAAAACATAACTGTAATTCACTTATCTGACAAGCTTAGCACTGTACTCACTGCCGAAGATTCACTAATATGCATATAAAATTTCCCACCGAGTTCACGGAGAGCTTTTCATTGATACGAAATAAGATGGGTTCGATATAACAATTCATCGCGATGAGTATATTGTAAATATGCAGATTTAAACTCGCGCCACATTACTGCACGTTAACAACGACTATCGATCAGCACCGAATCATTGCATTTCGTGGCAAGACCGATCAATCCGGCCAGCAACAAAGATCATCATTCTCAAAGCTGCCGTCTTTTCCATCCTGATCTACAGCCTCGAAATATCCACCCACAAAAGATGTGGATACTTCCCAGTAGCGCTATTTGTGGAAAGAAAAACAAAGATCTTGGAAACGACCGATCTATAGAAATCGAGGAATGTAGGGCGCCTGTCGCAGCTTACCAGAACGATCCGGAGAGAGAATGGAGATTCATCCATCTTATCTAGGAAGCAAAAAGATGGCCAACATCGCACCCTAAAGCAGCTTCCAGAGGCGCTTTGCTTGCGACAAGGAATTTGACTTGCAACAAACAATGTTTAAATCATTCTTAGAACTGAAAGCTTCAGACCATTATTCTGAGTACCCAGTCCTTAACCCTGATACCCAAGATGACGATGAGAACAACAATCAGAAGGATGACCAGTATCGACGTTTCGGCCTATGTCTCCCAAGCCATCTTCGAGGTAAGGAGTAGGCTAACTGATTTCTTCTGAAATTCATGTCATTTGCAGCGGTTGGTGCGTGTGCAGTCAGAAGGCAGTATTTTGGTTCGTGCCGCTGGTTAAGTAGTTTCATGCCAACAGCCGTGACAAGGTCCACCCAATCCACGCCAAGTTCATAGCCGTTGTTCTGGCTGAAGTTGTAGTAGAATGGATTGCTAATGAATTCTGAAGTCAATCAACCAACCTCCTTACGCTGAAGAAGGTCCGTGAAACACGGTCGAAACATAAGTACTGGTCAGTCATCTGACTGACAAAACTGTTTGCGCTTTGTATAAATAAAACCCTCTTTCATGCCACTTTCGATATGATCACCAAAGTAAAAAAGAAATACCAATCAACGAATGCATACGCTCTTCTGATACTAAACCGTGTTTTTAAGAACAATTTATCGGTAATCATGCTCGCAATCATGAATGAATTAACTGAAACAGTACGTGTAAAAAAACATCAAAATAACATGTCCCAGTGCTAGTTAGAAAATGATGAAAAAAGTAAGAACCCAGAATACTTAGAATTTCCAGCAGGTGAACTTTGGTACGTTATAAACAGCAATATCACACCTGATGTGTTCCAGCTCATCAAATGAAACTGCAGAACGGATACAACTGAATGATTACCTTCATCAGATAAAAACAGAATAACTTATGTGGCTTGGAGAGAAAGTGGCTTCGTTATTGAGAAACCAATCACAACGCCAGAACGACGAATCAGGTGGTAATAAATTTATCTAGAGTCCAGTTCATCGAACTAGAGCTTGGTTTTAAATCTTAGGACCTAAAGTCGCTTCAGTTCATAGACTACCCGTCAACTGGCTGCCATGTTTTGTCAAGTCACTGGAAAGCGCATTTCTCAGCGTCCTAGGAAACATTGAAGCAGTAATATTTTCTACAACTAGTAGAAATTTCCCGTCACAGACAACCTGCTAATACCATGATTTTGGATTCGATGGTAAGCATTATCAACATTTCGATCGACTATACATCGATCTTTACCAAAGAAAATATAACTGTACCATGGTGAAGAAAGACACGAATTCCATCGAAACGTTAGTCGTTTAATTAAAGTTTGCTATTGCTTCACAAACAATTTAAACAGAAAGCACTACGCTGTTAAAGCGGTAAATAGTGAGAGAGGAGTCAGTGACGCAATTGGCTAGAAGATTCCGATGCACCATAGAGGAGGGTACAAAGGCAACCAGTGGGGTAAATTTTCTGATTAACTGTCTATTTCCTATAGCAAGGAACTCACCCTACTGGACATCGCTGCAAACAGCCGGAAAAACAGTAGCAGTGACTTGTGAATAATAATAAATACATAAATTCTTCATTGTCTGATTAATTTGTTCACTAAAACCATCAAACAGTAAAAGAGATATAACCATCGTTCAAACAAGAAAATAATCTACATCTTAAAGACTTATCGGAGCACCAAATCGCTTTATACGCAATAAGTAGTCCAAATTTAGGCAAACATTCGGCAAGACAACACAAAGCATAATGAACTGTGTCGGCGAACTATAACCCTCCGAATATCAGGTTCGAACTCTTGTATTAAATTTTGTTTTCTTTTAATTAAAATGGAAAGAAACTGAATATTGAGAAGTCACAGCTGCGATGGCTTGGGCATGTGTTGCGAATGCCTCCAGAAAGGAAGGCTAAGCAAC